TTTCCACTAATAACCAGTTCCACAGAATGCCAGCTCCTCCAGCACTGCCTGTTTGTCTGCTGGCCCAAAAGGGTTTAGCTGGGCAGCTGGGTTCCTTGGCACTACATATTTGATTCAAGAGCAGTGAGAGAAAGAGATGGGCATGCTGCCAGTCTGTGGTGGCATAACTGCACTTCAGGGACCAGTATGAGGTGATCAAAGTTTAAAATGTTCTCGTTTTAGCCAAAGCATTGACTGGCAATTGACCAATCTCGGAATTAGGCAGTTTGGTGCACAATGGCTTAAGGGGATAAAGCATGTTTTTCACACCTAGATCCTGTACTAAAAGCAGCTCAGCTGGCATCAGGAATTGTGGTAAATCTGAAAGGACATGGAGAGTTTCAAAGTCTATAATGTATGGTAGGCACAGAGCGTCAGTGCAGAACGGTTTTCCTACATGCTTCACTGGTTTGCTTATTCACAGATTATCCATCTTTGAGGTGCAGCTCCCAGGTTTTAAAGGATTTTTTAGTAACTATTAGGAGAATTATAAAATTAATATAATTAGAGGATCGGAATTTTGATCTAGATTCAGACGTGTAACAGTCAATGATAAAGAGCAGTTGTGGTGGTGGTTTGATTACAGGCATGTTTGATCCCAGTGTCAGTGCCTCAACAATTAGTCAGTTAATATTGATAAGTTTAGCAATATGAAGCTGTTGAAAACACAGAACAAGGATTACTTTAACGTTCTGATTCCCTTGCCTTTTGTGGTGATGACAATCAAACATGCCAGGCTGGCAAAATATATATTTGGATGAAGATTTTATTCAGCGAGTGGTGCTAAACTAAGTCCCTAATAAGTAAAACCAGTGGCTGTATAGTACAGAAGCTGTGCCCCACCCTTCTGTATCCCTTCTATTTTTCACAAATTGCCTGCAGTGTAAGCTGGATATGTTTCATAATTTTTTTTCTTTAAATTGACTTCTGCATAATCAAATTCAGTCTCTTACCATTTGTGTTTGTCAGCTAGACATAAAAATGAAAGTGCAGCTGTATGAAGACGTATGGCCTTGTTTAGCATTTTTTTGCTGGGTATGTGGTCAATCTCAATTCCCTAAAAATCTTTCACTGACAAATATTTTTATTTGTGTTAACATATGATTTAAAAAATCAGACTGACTTCACCAATATTTTCACATTTCACTGGGTTCCAGGTTTTAGCTGAGGAATGCTGTATGAGGAAAAGTGATTCTGTGACGGAAAAGTACCAGAGAGATGGTGCATCTATTGGACACCTATTTAGAATGGTTTATTCCTAGCTACTGACCCTTCAGGTATTTAGGGTTAGGAAGTTAATGGTGCTCTGCCGGCACCACTCGTCTCCAGAGCACCCTCCCTATTTAGTACTTTTTGTTAACTCTGGAAATTCTGCTGCACAGAATATTTATATATCATTATTTGGCTTAAAACTACTGTGATAAAACTACATAGAAATGTTTTGTCTCACCAGAATCTTGAACATCTATAATTTACCAATCCATTGCTTAATGCCTTGAAAGGAATCTTTCAATTGGCCTTCTTACGCACCACGTTCTCTCTCTCTGTCACTGAGAAATGTACTTACCTCAAGTAAGTCCTGGTGTTACCTTTGGCCTTGTATTCAAAGATAGCACATGCACATGCCGCAGAAACAAACCAAAGAACAATTTGGACCATGCTGTAAATTAAACCAAATGTAAAACACTGTTATTGGAAAAAAAAGAAAAAAAGATTTATGTCATTCAGTTAAAAAGGGTGTTTGAGATACTGGCACCTACAGTAAAGTAAAATATTTTTGTGACTAGGAGAAGAATATATACTTATTTTCTGAAATTCAGAACCAGGAATGGTACTTCAAAGGTATATATGCATGCAAAAAGTCCTTTTGCTTTTCTCCCTTCTCCTTAACACCTCTTCAGTAAAATACCTGCACATGATGCTTAAAATTTTGTCTGTTACTACATCAAATGATTTCACTAGTTTTTGTCAAGTTAAGGTGCATACTGAAGTACGCGGGCTCATAAGCTCTTTGTGATTCCGCATTTGTACTTGTTTGTAAAAGAGCTAAATAGACAGTGTAAGTCAAAGAAGAACAAGTTCCATCTGAGCGAGAAGCAGTGCGTGTCTTGGGTTGGAGCAAGAGTGTGTGTGGAGAGGTTGAGGGGGAAAGTGTCAGGGGAAAGTATTCATTTTTCTGTTTATCCTGTTGAGTTTAGCTTTTTTAGCCTGTTTTGTTAAGGGGATACAGGCTCAGAATTCTAAATAGGGAGAAAAAAGTGCATTTTGAGGAGCTGAGCATAGCATGTTTCAAGTTGGACTTTCAAAAGAATCTACACCTGCACTTTTTTACAGCCTGGCCATGCAGATAAATCTAAGTGCTCGTGTTTCCAACCACCTGCCTGCAAGTATATACAAAGCTGATAGAAGGTGACTATGCAAATACCTCTCCTTGCTTAGGTTTGTTTCGGTAGATAGATCGCTCATATGCAAACTCACCACCTGTGGTGGGCACAGTCCTCTTCCTGAAGAAGAAAGGATCAAGCCTGAGTCTACTAGGCAATGAGATTTAATGGGACCAACAGTCATGCTGAAATATGTGTGATTAGAGATTTTTTTTTTATGATAAACTTAATTCTCTTAAAATCAGTGGGTTTTAGAAATTTCATGCACTGGGTGAGATAAAAGTGCCTGTGACTCGAGTCACTGATTCTTACTGGATTTTTGGAAAGCCAGAAGCTCCTTATTTCTTGTCAGCCCTGTGAGGACTCTGTTAGAAAAGGCTCAGAGTAAACAGGATTATATCATGCCAGTCTGTACTACTACTGATGAGATGAAATGAAGTTCAGTTAAAGTGCCGGCACCCAACATTTTAATTTATGTATTCATTTGCTTATTTTTTTGGACAGAAGGATAAAGATTTCCATGCAAACAAATTAGAGCCTTCAGCATTGACAGGAGTTCATTTCAAACCCATTTCCTGATCACTCTGATTTGGCAAGTGCTTTTATGGGACTTGCCGTCCTGGGAGCATAAACCTCTCACTGCTGGCAAGAGATTTTCCCCACCTCAGCATGAGATTAGCTTTGTCATGAAAATCCTTTTCTGTTCAGTGGCTTTGAAGTACATGGCTAAGGCATTTATTGGGGTAAACGTTTGGCACATCCCCATATCCGTCCTGTAACTATTCAGAATGGCTTCACAGTTAAAACAAAAAGCTATCTCAATTACACGTGCATTTCGTACCGAAAGAGAAATCTACAATCAGGAGGGGTGAATCCATAGCAAAGTCAGCTTCAAATAAATGGCAAGAGGAACTGCTTGGCAAAGGTGCTGATTTGGGGCTAAATAGAGATTTTATTGTCTGAAAGCCAGAGACTGCCCACCTGTGCCTGAGAGCTTATGCAGTGAGAAAGGAGAGAGAAGTTGCTTCCCCACAGTCACCCTGGCTGATGCAGGGGAGAGTTATCCCACCCAGCACAGCTCTGCTTCTGCCACCCCATCGCTCCTCAGAGTCCCCTGTTTGTTCCGACTGACACCAATAGCTTGATGGTTATTTTCTGTGTGGTGAAAGGGAGGTTCCCACAGTTGCACTTTTAGAGGTTGGCTATTCCTCTTTTCTTAGAAAGCCTCATCTGCTTGAGCTGAGAGGCACCTTAGCCACAGGACACCTTAGTGCACTTTCTTCCCTTAAAAGTTAGTATTTATTGCTTGATTGATTTTAGTCGAGGTTCCATCTTCTGTCTGAAAAATGCCTACAACATCCCCCCTAACAAGAGATTGCAAAAAACATTTCAGATTTGGTGCTATGCTTAACAGCTGAGGAGCCCACTTGAGCCCATTTCAAGCTTAGAAACAGCCTCTGTAGCAAGTAACAAGGTGTGCTCTATTCCATGCAGGGTTGGCAACACAGAAGAGCGCCTGAGATAGAGTTCGTGGCTGTCTGCAATTCCTTTTCTTTTGTTGCGTGTAGGCTCAGCCCAGCCATTGAACAAAGTAACCTGTTAATCCTTTGTATGTAGCCCTTTATTCCTCTCTGGCATGATTCCACAGGGTCAGTGACTGTATTTAGCATTGATTTAAATTAGTTTAGCAGGCCTTCAAAACTGACAGAAATTTGAATTCAGCACACCAGGAAATCATCGTTATTGTGTCAGGCTGGCAGTATAGGCTGTGCTTTTAATTTGCAAATGGACAAGCTCACTGGTCTGCATTGCAGCTGTGCACTTAAAAACTGGAATATTCAGAATATATGATAGGATATTGATCTGGAACCTGAAAATTATGTGGGTTTTTTGTACTTATCTTTTGCTTACAGTCATCTGTGGCTCAAAGCCCATAAGAACAGTGCATTGACTATATTGAATTTCTGCTTTGAGAAAGTTAGGGGCAGTCAACTTATGTAAAGATTATGCAGAACATTGGCTATTTAGGAAGACTTGTCTTGTCTTCTTTAATACAATGTTATAATATGAAAAATGTTCTAGTGCATTTAGATGTGAGCTAGCTTGTAGCTAACAAATTTGATTAAACAATGAAAACAGTTTTGTTTGCACATCTTGACAAGAACTGACAAAGTGAGCATATAAAGAGTTTTTCACAAATCTGTAAGCTGAGAAATGTTTTAGAAAAACAAGCATCTGAAACATACCCTAAAATGGCCGACAGCATACTCTCCAAAACTTCTGTCTAAATGAATGACTAAGATGCTTGAAAGCACACTCAGTGTTTTCATAATTCTTTACTGGGAAATAGGTACCTATTCTGTCAGTTCTGATGGCTTCTCAAGTGAAAGATTCTCTCTCTGTACCTTTTACATGTTCCTTCATGGTGTCTAAAGTTAAAAATATGTTCTGAAGGAAAACTTGTGTCATGTGTGCACCTAAGGAAGAGTAAGTAATCATTACATCCACTATTTTTCACGATCTACCGATTGCAAAGTAGTAAAGTGTGAAAATATTTTTATTTTTCTTTCTTGGTAGATGTCCGTAGAAGAACAATTTATGAGTACCACAGGGTGGAGCTACAGATGTCAAAGATTACCAATCTCTCAGCTGTTGAAATGATACCGCTTCCAAGTAAGTGAAACATGACGTGGACAGGAGCCAGATCTGGGAAGGAACCCCTTTTCCCTCCCGACAACACACAATTTTAAATATTCTGGTTAATCTGTGGACTTGAAATCATAGGCAGATTCATTTATCCTCTCTCAGATTTATTCCCAGATGGGTGATGCTTTATCCAGTGCATCCTCATGTATCTCAAGTTAGTTTATAGGTATCTAGCTCCCAGTAGGTTTTAATAGAAATCCATGCCAAATCATTTTTTCAGAAGAATGATTATATTTCCTTTAAATTTGTTTCCTCAAGAAAAAAAAAAACACAACGTTTTCATGCTTGCAAGGCAAATACAAATTTTTCTGTGTACTGTGCATCACATTGCAAAGGAATATTCCCAAACACATTTTGCAGTTCATCTGCCTCTTTTGTCCAAGGTAGAACCACATTGTTTAGAAATCTCTGGGTTTAAACTGCCAGCTGTTCTACTGGGGAGAGGAGGGGGGAGACAAACCAAAAAACAGAAACAGCTATTTTTCTTTTTTCTAATCCAATTGTATTTCTTGCACACTTTCGTGTCAATCTTATTATCTGCTTACATCTGAACATTAACAACACCAAGGAACACTGGAGCCAGGGAAGAAAGAGATTCAAGGAAATACTTAATATTAAGGAGGAAGATAAAAATTTAGCAATGAAACTGAACAGTTGTAGAAGTGGGAATACGTTTACAAATGGAATACAAATGGAATCCTACGGATAAAATGTACCTCTGTGCATGTGGTTGTGCAATGCATTGTAATAGGCTGGTTTTAGCATCTTATTTTCGACTTGTGAACTTGTTGAGTCCCTAAGTATATAGTATCAAATGATGTGTCCTTCTTTTGTGCTTTTTAAGAGAATTATTTGTGAGACTAATGTAATAATTTGTGTTTGTTTATCTACATTCCAGCTTGTCTCCAGTTCACGAGCTGTGGTCCCTGTGTCACTGCCCAGATTGGTTTCAACTGCAGCTGGTGCAGTAAACTCCAAAGGTAAAGAAAAAGATTTTTCTTTTTTGCATGGGTATGCAGCCGTGCTGAAGGAATTTCCAAAAACATTGCCCATAGGTTAGTCAGCACAAGGGGTTGTTATATTTAGGTCTTATATGCATGCATTCACATAAACATGCACCTCAGTTGAATCATTTCGCTTCATTAAAGAAATTAGGCAAGAATGGTCAAAATTATTGTTTTGAGATTTAAGCCCTTGTTCCTATTTCCTTAACTCTACTTTAAAATCCTTTTGAAGGAGAACAAGAAATGGAAATCATAATAAAATTCATATTTTCTCCCTATATCCCTGGCTTCATCAAAAATATTTTAACCACATTACAATGTGGGGTGGTAGCGTAACTATAAAGGCATACTTGTTCTCCTGACAGTAGAGAGACTGACACATCCAAAGACTCAGAGTCTTTTCTCTTTTAACCTCTCATTATACTCAGTTGGTACGTTCGTTCTCCTCAGCCTCTCACTGCCACATTGACGAGGACAGTCAAGTCAGTAGCCAGAGTGATTTAGACTCTATGGAGCAGCTGGAGCACAGACAGCATAACGGAAACTGCAGCTGTAGCTTTTCCAAAAAGTTCTTCAGACGCTGACTTTCATTGTCCTTCATAGCAAGAACTTATTTATCACCAGTTCTCTGACACAAAATGCAGTATCATAATGGATATTTATTATGGCTGTATTTTTCAACCCTAGTGATTAGGTTCAGAAATGTTATGTATAAAACGTATGCGTAATGAAAGGAGAAAACGCTATTAGCAATCTAAAACAGTGCAATAATTTGATACCATGCTGAAGAACTGACAAATAGCTGATGAACATGGTACAAAAAAAAAAAAAACACAACAAAAAAAAAAGAACATCAGGTCACTCTTACTATGTTTTCTTAAGCTTCTACTCCTTCACTAAGTCATTTGAGAAGTCACTCTCTTGTCAGTTTGTCTTGCAAAAAATTCTTGAGTGGAATTAGAGCTAAATTAAATAATTTCACAGAAAACATATCAAACATCTTCCAGCATAAGGATACTTGTAGAAAACTGTTCCAAGCGAGCATGAAGAGATCTTGCTTGCTTTAACCAATTTCTTGCTTTCAAGCATTGCTTGATTCTACTTCCATCAATAAATGTCGTAGCACTGAGAATCTGTTGGCTTTGGTTTGAGTGAGGTCTGTTGCTTTGTGGCCAGTGTTCTCATTTCTCTTTGGATGAACTCAATTCTAGCAGGTAAGATTTGAAGAGATAGTAAACTTCAGATCACTTATGAAGAACAGGCAAACCTTGAGATCCTTAGTTTTGCTCCGTAGTTTCTGAAGAACTGAGTTTCCTGAGTTCTGGACTTTCTGGAAAATCTGTTTCACTGACTGAGGCACAAATTCACTCTGGAGAACTAAAAGAGTTTTATCCTCACCTTTAGCAGGAAGCAACACCAGGCATGTAGTTGCACTATGTTCCCTTCCACGTATTTAGGTGAATTTGTGGCTGTCCCTTCACAACTGGCAACGTGTCATTTATTGCTGAAAACTATACAGTCTCAATGCATCAATTTCTATTCCATTAGAGTTTACATGAGAGAAATCTTGCTTTTCATTTTGCCTGTGAAGATCACACTGCAATCAAAGATGAACCTACTGTGAGGCAGCCCTGCACTGTTTCCCAAAAACAGCTGGCTCCACACTGCAGCACAGTTCTGCCTTTGACAAGCTGCAGCAGATAGACTGCGCAGTTTTATTGCTGTTAATTGGCCCATTACTGACGGTAGTGAGATTGTCATTTCATGCAGGCTGTGTTTGGACATTGTTTGACTAGCAGCAAAAGCAGGAACTGGAGTTTATTCCTTAAAAAAAAATATGGATCCAGAGAAGCAATCTAAGATTATGGCTCTACATGGGAATTTCAGCAGTTTAAAAAGAGTCATACCATCCATTTTGTATCTATAAAGATGAGTGATACTCAGCCAGGTTTAAGCAAATGGAGAATTGTGTATATGTGGTCGGCTGACCCTGGCTGGACACTAGGTGCCCATCAAAGCCACTTTGTCACTCCCTTCCTCAGCTGGACAGGGGAGAGAAAATATAGTGAAAGGACTTGTGGGTCAAGACAAGGACAGGGAGAGACCACTCAGCAGGTACTGTCATGGGCAAAGCAGACTCGGGGAGAATTAATTTAATTTATTACCAATCAAATCAGAGTAGGATGATGAGAAATAAAAACTAAATCTTAAAACACCTTCCCTCCCCTCCTGACTTATTCCCAGGCTTAGCTTTACTCCCAAGTCCTCTCCCTCCTCCCACAGTGGCACAGGAGGACAAGGAATGGGGGTTGTGGTCAATTTATCATACATTGTTTTTGCTGCTCCTTGCCCCTCAGAGGGAGGACTCCTCATACTCTTTCCCTGCTCCAGTGCAGAGTCCTTCTCACCGGAGACAGTTCTGCACGAACTTTTCCAATGTGAGACCTTCCCATGGGCTTCAGTTCTTCACAAACTGCTCCAGTGTGAGTCCTTTCCACGGGGTGCAGTCCTTCAGGAACAGACTGATCGAGTGTGTGTCTCCTACGGGGTCACAAGTTCTGCCAGCAAACCTGCTCCAGCACAGGCTCTTCTCTCCATGGGGCCAGAGGTCCTGCCAGGAGTCAGCTCCAGCACGGACTTCCCATGAAGTCACAGCCTCCTTCGGGTGCATCCACCTGCTTTGGCATGGGGTCCTTCATGAGCCGCACATGGATATCTGCTCACCGTTCACCTCTATGGGCTGCAGGACGACAGCCTGCCTCACCATGGTCATCACCACAGTCTGTAGGTGAATCTCTGCTCTGGCTCCTGCAGCACCTTCTTCCCCTCCTTCTTCACACTGGCCTTGATGTCCACAGAGTTTTTTCTCTCACATATTCTCACTCCTCTCTCTGACTGCAATTTTCTCTACGTGTTATCATGGAGGCGCTACCAGTGTTGCTGAGTGCCTTGGCCTTGCCCAGTGGTAGGTCCATCTTGGAGCCACTTGGCATATTGGACGTAGGGGAAGCTTCTAGCAGCTCCTCACAGAAGCCACCTCTGTGGCCCTCCCACTATCAAAACCTTGCCATACAAACCCAATACAGTAGAGAATCATAAAATAGTTCATAATTGAAGCATCCACGAGAGGTCATCTAGTCTAACCTCCTGCTCAAAGCAGTGCCAGCTGTGAGATCAGACCAGTTTACTCATGACTTTGTTCAGCTGGATCCTGAAAACCTGAAAACCATAGCCTCTGAAGCTGTGTTCCAGTCCTTTGAACATCTTAATTTTATACTAAATTTTACACTTTATTTTTTAAATTGTTATTTCCTCTGGTAACATGGCTTTGGTGATGACGCCTGCCTCAGGCTCCATTGCCTTTCTTGGCTGCTCTCCTCCAGCTTCCGAAATGAGCAGCTTATTTTGACTAATTCAGTTCTACAGAGAAACAGATCTGAAATAATAAGTGGATACATATTTTGTGAAAAGAGGCAACTTGCTTTCCAAAATGTGAAGACTGAGCATTTATTTAGTTAGGGTACATTACACTGCAGGATCGCTGTGATCAGGACTCATTCCTGTTACAGCTTTGACAATTTTCTGCTCCCTACCAGTTCTGGATATTCTCTCCTGCCTTCTAGTCCAGTACCTCTCTTCTTTTACCTTGCTGTTCCTCAGCATGTTTATTCATTTTAAGGACACAGACAAAAAAGCCTTATTCCATTCTCAGTGGAGATGTCTGGATCACGGGAGAGTGCTCAGAATCATTTACTTCAGTGCCACATTATAGTTTTTTTTCCCCTCGAAAATAAATCTGCTGTGTTACAATGTTCTTTTTGCATGTGATAAAGAAGCACTTGCTCAAAAAGAAAGCCTGACTGTCCGGGTTAAAAATCATAAAGGATGGAAAGTTGTGAGTTCTTTCATCACAGTGCTCCAACTTTTTCTGTGTGTCACTGCTCTTCAGTCACCAGCCCCGTAAATCAACCTAGACTTTTATCTCCTATTGTGATATACATTGCTCTGCTGCAGCAGAATAAAAACTGCTTGGAAAAAACCAAGGGCAAAGCATTACATGAAGTATTAACTTAGACATTTCAGAATTGCCTAGAGTACAAAGAAAATTAATATTTACAGTCCACTTTCAAATGAGCACTCATAGGGGTTTTTGAAGTAAGCAGAAGCAGATGCTTAGGAGTAATGCCTGAGTAGAGCTTCTGAGTTGCAAAGCTGACTGTACACACTGGTCTGGGAAGTGAGAAAACAAAAGCAGTCTCTCTGGGCTGCAGGCAAAGCACAGGGTGGGGAAGGCAATTAACCTTCGGTGCAAAAACCTGAGGAAGGCTTTGAACTTGATAGTGGCAGGTTTCCAGTATGGCAATAATCTACCAACTGATCTAGTGCTCTGATTCCTGCAGAGGGAGAATGCCTGTTTGCTAGTGAGGAGGTCGTTAGGAAGCAGAAAAGGTCAGATATGGCCGTAACAGACAGGGATGTTCCTCCTGTGGAGCCCCAGTAGCACTTTGGTACTCTAAAGTGAGATCTGCCAGATCACACAGGCTTGAGTAACAAGCAAACGAGTATCCAGTGAGAAACAAAGCTCCACACCAATTCTACAACCCTTTTTTCTCAACGAGTTATGACCCCATTTAGCCAGAGCAAATGGTATTTTCTTTTTCCTTGCATAACATTTAGACCATATATTGGATCATTCACACAACAACGTACAGTTGTTGGAAAAACAGAAAGTTATATAAAACCTGTAACTGCACAAGGAAAATTGACCAGCAGAGCCATTGCAGTATAACTGTACTCCCCCATGTGGGCAATCTGTGTTGGAATAAAAATAACTTTGTTCTACAACAGTGAGTTGTTTCCTACCTGTAACTTCAGCCCAGCTGCTGTGCAAACTCTGCAGTCTTGAGACGCAGGTTCTTCTTGTAGGTGATTCAGAGCAAAATTCACTATTCCTGTCACTCTCTACAAGCTTAAAT